GTAATTTTTTGATTTGCTTCTGATAGTATTCTAATGTCGCGTACGTTATGCAAAAACATTGTATGTCTATGTCATTTGTATATTGGCAGTCGCAGGTAATGCAGATTACAATTCTTAAGCGAGAATTCTTCCAGCTAAAGATATACAGTAAAATTTTCTCTCCAACCGAAGTAAAAAAAAAATTAATTACCCTTTAAAGTTTGTCGCATACGTTATTGTAGGTACGAAAAATTCAATCAAATACATCAAAACCAATGTTAATTGCAAATTTTCCATTTAAATTATTTAGAATAGTTGTAAAATAATGAAATGGTGGCGAGAAGAGTTCTCAATAAATACATTTTATTACTTACGAGAAAAATTGTCGCGTACGTTATGTCGCGTACGTTATTGTTTTTTTTTTTTATATAAAACTAGCCAGAGATAATTTCTCTTAAAATATGAAAGGATTGTAAAGGTACATTATTTAGCTTAGTTTAGGCATTTTTAAAGAAAAGGAAAACTCCCATGATTCGCAGACTTTCGTACATATGCGCGTTTCCATGAAAATGTAAATCGAAAATGCAAGCAAATGAATTCAAACGGCTTTATAACTTAAAATTCCGTATTCAGATGGCGGTAAAAGGTTTTGGAAACGCGAAACGGTGGAGAGAAGAACTGAAAAAATTTAATTTAGTATGTGTTACTAGTAAAAATATTGTATGGAGGAAAAATCTGTCGCGTACGTTATGTCGCGTACGTTATTATAATTTTTTGTAATAAAACCTAACCAGAGATAATTTCTATTAAAAAATGGAAGGATTGTAAAGGTACATTATTTAGCTTAGTTAAGGAATTTTTAAAGAACAGAAAAACTCTCATGATTCGCAGACTTTCGCATATATGTATATGTGCCTTAAAACCACTTCTTTTTTTTGTCGCGTACGTTATCACCTGGTTTTAAACGGATATTTTCCACACCAAAGTTTCGAGGCTGCTTATTTTTTTCTCAAACATAGTACCCTTTGGTTGCAACATAACCGTAATCTTTTTTTTTCAGTAACTTCTATTTTTGATAGATTTACGTCACTCTATAAGCGTACGAATGTCGCGTACGGCTGTATGGAAACACCCATATATCATATAAGTGGGCGCTGCCACCCCCATTTTCCTAAAATTTCTTGAAAAAACCACTTCTTTGCTAAAGAGCGAATCTATATATCAATTTTGAATGAATATTGATGAATTCCTTATCCACGCAGCTCAAAAAATCTGAAAGTCCGGTAAATAAACAATATAAATTCAAGACCCTATTTTAAGAAAAGTCGCCTAACTTCGACAATTTTTATGCGATTGCAATAAAAGAGCTATCAGTTTATATATATAAAGTAGATTTAATTTTTTAATATAATATAATTATTTAATATAAAATAGATTTACTTTTAGATAGTCCTAGATATTTTGAAATTGTAGAAATTATCAATGGTCAAAATTTATGAAAATTAAGAGAAATATGGGTTTTTTTATTTTACCCGATAAAAATCCCAACAAGCCAAGTCCGACAATAGATTATTATATACCATTTTAAAGGCCTATATATCCTCTTCTCAGATCATATTTAATCTTTGGAAATCGTATTAAAAATAGTCATTTAAAAACTCATAAATATACAAAATCGTATTTTCTGACCTAAATCGACAGGTCGCGACCTCTAAAATGACCTTTAAAAAATCTATAAAAATTGGCAATAATATTTCTTCTAAAAACGAATAAAATTAGGGGTTAGGGTCTTGAAATTTCCAAAAAAAAAAATGCGGTTTTGCGGCCTATTGAATTTGAGTAGAATAAAGTACAAGTTTCAAATGGCTAAAAATTGCCGTTGATTTTTTAGGATTTTTTTTTGTCCTTTTGCTTACATATAACGAATAAACACATCTTCAACAAAGAACAAACACCCATTCTTGTTCCAAAAAACAAACTAAGTAGATATACCCACAACAAACAAGCCATTTATTTTAAAAGTGGCATAATTCACTTTTTCAAAACAATCAAGTTAATGATTACATTTTACATTTGAACGGTATTTATTCATGAAAAAATGTAATGTTTTATGTTGAAAAGTGAAAGGAAAAAAAAATTACGTTTGAATGCTACCACTTTTTTTGAAAACAGTGGAATTTAGTCTCAAATGTCTGCAATTATTTACAAAATTGTTGATGAAAAACTATTCATAGGATAGTTAATTAAACAAATTTATTAAATTATCTCCTAGTCAGCGGGGCTGCTGTATTTTAATTCACTGCACTATGTCGTTTTGAAGTTCAAACAGCTCACCGTCCAGCCATCGTCTGCGGAATTCACCGTCTCCAACGCGCGAAACCCCATAAATCTTCCGCAGACGATCGATAAGGACAGTGCTTGGGGACGAACGAAGTCTCTCTCTCACCTCAAATCCAATACCTAATTAACGCTCCTTTACATGGGGGCTGTAGCACACGTCGTATTTGGCCTTGTCCCGTCAATCGCCTGTCTTGCTTGTCGGTGATGTCAGCCTTAGTCTTCCTAAGGACCAGTGTGATCAGGCTAGCCTTTTTGAGGTTAGATTTATCATTTAGTTTTATGCCATAACCCTAGAAATTTAGGTCTAGTTTCGTGACTTTTTTCTAGCCTTTCTTTACTTCAAATAATCATAACAAAATTCGGACCGGAACTTCTAAAAATAAGTAGTTACGCTCAAAAATTACAATTACTATGCTACTTTGCTTTGAGAAAATTATTATTTTTTCAGTTTCTTAGTTAAAAAAATTATAAGAAAATATTAGCTTAAACTGTATTTTATACAATTTGATTGTTGGCGTACTACCAGTGTACTATGATGTTGAAAACAATTATTTTTCTTTATTCAAAAACCTTTCGCGTTTTTATCCCAAGCCGAACTCCTTTTTGCATATCTTTTTTTTTTGCGTAATGTAGCCGTTATTAGTCTAATAGATTTTATTTTTTGTTTTGATGCGAAGGATTTAAAAAAAGTATTCCAGAAAATCGCTTTCGCTGAACTTGTCGAATTGGTGAAAAGTTTTCACCGACACTTTTCTGACTCTTTTTTAGCCTCGGGTTTTGGGGTCATCTGGTCACACTGCTAAGGATATCAACAAGCCGGGCACAATTACCTTCCTATTTCAGGGTCCATTAAAAAGGGGGGATTAGGCAATCATTAGTCATTATTTAGCAGGTCTGATTTTAATCTAAATGACATGCCACTGACAGCATTCCTGTCAATATAACTCGCCTTTGGGAGTCAATTTAAGGCAGAATATTAGGTGTAGATGTTTGCTATGGGCATGGATATTTAAATGAACTGAATATTTTTTTTTCTTTTTAAGGAAAGTCATAGGCCCGAAGTTATAATTGTCCCTTGAATTTTTTCCTCATTAAGGCATATTTCTGGCTCCTATTATTGAGGTTTACCGAAACTTATCGCCTTTTTTAAAGTTATCTTAACTTATTTCATGCTTGTCAGAAAAGGCCAAAAAAAACTACATAGCTCTTAGCTAATGTTAGGTCGCATGGAGAAAATAGTAATTATAGTGCTTTCGGTAACAAATTACTGCAAACTATTGCTTCCGCTTTGCGGAATGGTAAATATAATAAGGAGTGCGTCACTAGAAATTGGTGCATCTAAAAAATAGCATATCTCAACAACTCCTTCTTCGATGTTCAAAAGGTTTATTATTTGCGAAAGAGAATTTAATATAAATTATAATAATTTTGTTTTTATTACAAAAACTGGTTTTGAAGTGTAAAGTTTTTGACTTTTTCTGGAATACCTTCCATTAGAGCCTTAACGGTAACCTCTTGCATTTTCTGACTTGCAGCATGCCACTTATGCCGAAAATCTGTAACATCCCTAGATGTATGTTTTGTCCTCTTTAACTATTTTTTCAATAGAGCCCAATATCTCTCGATTGGCCGAAGTTCTGGGCAATTAGGAGGGTTCGTTTCTCTAGGCACAAAAACGACTTCGTTTTTCTCGCACCACTCAAGAGCTCCTTTACTGTAGTGACATGAGGCGAGATCAGGCCAAAAGAAGGTAGACACACCATGTTGATGTAAAAATGGCTGAAGTCTCTTCGGTAAGCACACTTTAATGTAATTTTCTGTGTTAATTGTTCCTGTAGTAATGAAAATTTTACTCCGCATGCCATAGCCTGCCAAACGAGAAATTTTTTGGGAAACTTTGTCCTTTTTTGTGCCCTAAATTTTTCCGGGACATTTCCTCTAGCATCGGCAACATAAAACTCTTGCCCAGGAAGTTGAGAAAAGTCAGAAATAACTACGTTTCATCGTCCATTACGCAGCATTCATATTTCTTCACGAAGTCTTTGTACAGCTTTTTGGCGCGTATTTTAGCCACATCGTTGCGTTGCGTTGCGATCCAGTACTTTTTGAACTTTGTACGTCTTCAGACCAGCTTCTGCTTTAGCTCTACGTACAAATGGCTCTGAGCATCCCACCAGCCGAGCAATATTTCTTCCCGCGAGATTTGGTTTCCTCTTTTTCCGCTTTGTTACGGTCACCACACCCTTTTTTCCGTCCCGTTCCTTTCTTACGAGTAACACTAACACCATCCGGGATACGATGTTTCTGGAAATTTTTAGTGCTTTCGCAATCTTTTTGTAAGTCCATTTTGGGTTATTTACAAAAATGTTTACAATTTCTTCACGCGTTTTTTGTTCGCTGCTCATATTTACTGTGAAAATTAACCGGTACTGATACGTGTCACGTAATAAAATCTGATATGGTTTTCAAAGCTAACCTGATAAAAAAAAATATTTTGCATTCCTATTAAAAAAGTAATATTCGAAAATGCATGCACTAATTTCCAGTGACGCACTCCTTATGGACATACTTCTCTGAAGGCTTACAGTACGTAATAACCATAACTAAATAAATATATACCCTTTGTAGAACATGTTTATATATGTATATGTAATTGCTGAAACAATAGATCTGAAACTCACCTTCCATCGCTCAGCGCACTTTCGGGAGAATTCAGCAAAGATCACTGTCTCATCGGGATGCTTCTTCTTGTGCTCCTCTCGGCATGTTTGTACAAAGAATGCGTACGCTGTCATGCGGCCTCGGGGTTTCGCATCAGCTTTAGCGCCACGAACCATCGTGCTCTGTTTTGTTAAGAAAAGACAAAAAAAGAATGGATTATAAAACTTATTCGAAAAAATGTAAAATCTTAAAACAACATAATACAAGAGCCTAGCGTAAGATAATTAAAAAAATACATACGAAATTATGAGCTTCATTTACATTTTTAATAAATTTAAAAGTGCTTTTGGACCGTGGTCTAAAATAATAGTTAAAATTTGATTTAAATTTTTTAGATCAAAAATAAAAGTTTACTATCGATCTTCCTATTTTTTTATTTCACTGCCTATGATTGCAAAAACGACTAATAGCTTGTTTATACGTAGCAATAAAACGTTTCTAACTAAAATGTTTACAAGCCGATGAAATTAAATTTTATTAAATTTATTTTTGATCGCAAAAATACACACAAATTTTATTTTTTATATTTTATTGGAAAAATACAAGCCAAATTTTAACTTTTATTTTTGATCGAAAAAATTAGTAAAATTTTAATTTCTATTTTTGACAGAAAAAATATCGGTCGCAAAATAAAGATTAACTATCGACTTTTTTGAAAAATATCAAAAAAAATTAATGCATTTAAGATTCATATTCCTTAGCTAACAAGCATCACACTACTATATTCAAATATCCGACTTCTTGAATTAAAATTTCGAAAATAACTGTTATTTCGATCCCAGGCCAAAATTTTTTCGAATTTGAAGCTGTAATTGTTCGAAATACATACAAACATACTATGTATCTGCAGAGCTGGCAATATCGCCAAATTGGCGCATACACACACATAAACAGGAACCACCCACCCGCTCGCAAATGGCAGAGATGAGCCAACATAATGAAAAATGGCTTGGCAATGGCATCTGACGGTAGCAAAAACAAGACACTTGTTACACATGTACATACATACATATGTATGTATGGATGTATGTATAAGAGCAAAATTTATTTACAGTTGGCATAATAAAACAATAAATTTACATTTTACATAAAGATGTAAATATGCACACACATACATACACATGTAGGTAGGTAGAAACAACCCAGTTGACAATATGAGAAACGCTTCTAAATAAACGCTTTCTAGCAAGCAGGGCCTTTTCAATAAGAACTTATTCTTGAAGGTTTTGTGCGAAGATCTTCCAATAGCCCTGTCATTGGAAGGCAGACAAAAAAATGTGTTTCCGGAAGTGAAATAAAGAAAACACTGAATGGCTTTGTGCAGTTTGGTTATTTCATGTAATTTTTCCGTTAATAAGAGAAGTTGGATCCCGAAGACTTTTTTTCTCTCCGTTTTATCAAAAGTATAATGTACATTGTACAAGTAGTAAGAAATCTTTTTAAGTGTTACAAACTTTTGGTCACGAAAGCAAGGTTCCTGGCCCAGTGTACCTAGTATGTACATTTTACATACGAATATGCTTGAATGCAGTATATAGCTTATGTATGTATGTATAATTAAGGTGTGGAGAATGGGTGCTAGTGTTGAAGCTGACAGTGATGAAGTGTCCAGCAGACGACGGACAAACAACTATCCAAACAAGTTTATATGGACGTATACAGTATGTATAGATGTACATACATAAATATGTGGGAGTACTGCGAATAAACTGCAGCAGTGGGAGTAGAACAAAGTTGAGTTGAAATGTACACAGCTAAAATACATACATATATAGCTAAATATACATTCATACAAACTTGAACAAAGGAATATAAAAGTAAGAATATATATTTACATGTGAATTAACTATGTGTATAATCCTGACATAGCAATATGTATGCTGGGAGAGAGCTTCGCAGAATATGGAAATTACATAGTTTGCTTAAAAATATTTAATTTTTTATGTATATGTTTTTTTTTAATAAAAATTTAGGATTTTCAAGTGAAATATCGCTGCCTTAGAGTGAAAAGGTGCTAAGTCCATGTTTACAAATTTTACAAGAGGCGAAAAAAACGTACATATATCCATCTCCATACGAATCAGGAGGACTCGATGTAAATTAGAAGATTTCGTATTATTGTCCTTATCGAATTTTCTGTATATTTTTTTGGATTTCGCAAATTTGCCTTTGCCCATTTAAAAGTGATATTGTTTGCCACTTATGTGTAATTATTTATTTTTAAGAATTTTCAATTAAAATACAGTTCATTCTATAACAAAAATAATATAAAAGTTTTAAACTTTTTAAAATACCGCTACAAATTTTCACCCAAATTTCAAACTTTTTTCCCAGAAGTGCTAGAATTTTTTTGAATACACAGTTTTATGACCCATTCAATTTTGACCCATAATGTGCAAGTTTCAAGTCGTTAAAAATTACCGTTTTTTTTTTTTAGAATTTCATCGCATTTGCTTTCATATAACGAACAAATAGAATTTATCGTTAAATTTTGGGTTCCTCTAGTTGTGTTATAACATCAGGATGCATACCACAAAGTGGAGGAGAAGCTGGGCCAAACATTTAGCAAAAGAATAACCGACAGAATATAATTGTTATTAATGAAACATGTCTAGAAAAAGATTTTTTTTGTTATACCCGAATATGTAGTATTTGTTATAATGAATAGAGTACATTCTTTTAAATTCCCTTAATCTGACCAAAATAAAATTAATTTTTTTTATTTATTTTTGAATACATATTTAGCCCATCTGGTCACTCCTTTATTTGTACTCAGTTGGAGTGCAACGAATTTTTCCTTGCATCATGATTAATTTCCTTCTGCTACAATGAACGTTGATGTGAATAACACCAACAGCAAGAGCAATAAAAGTGATTTACGAAACTACTATGTATTTATAAGCTGAAATTTACATATCTAAATGTGTATGTGTCTGCGTTGTCAGATGGTTGTTATACATAAATTCACTTGACACACCACGCACCACTTACTCAGCATGAAGAACTAGTGCATACCATGTATTTACATTAGGGTGATCCAAAAATGTATGTGGGAAAAGTAATGTCGGAATTTTAATGCTCTCAATTGTTTTATATCGAAAAAATATACCCATTTTTTTATCAAAAAATATTTAGAGGTCGCTCAAAGCACTCACAGTTTCCCATGTATTTTATATGAGCAAAAACTAATTTTCGTAGAAATAGTATAGAATCCTTAAAATCAATATTTATCAATCGGTAAATTTTGTTACTCTTCAGAAGACTTCAAAGTATAATACCCAATTGTTTATTTATAATAATAATAATAGATTGGCGTTTACACATATGTTAGTGTTTGGCCGAGCTTCTCCTCCGATTTGTGGCGTGCGCCTTGATGTTGTCACACAAAGCGGAGGGACCTACAGTTTTACGCCGACTCCGAACGGCGGTTGTATTTTTATGAGAAGCTGTTTTTCATGGCAGAAATTCACTCGGAGGTTTGCCATTACCTGCCGAGGGACGACCGCTGTTAAGAAAAACCTTTTTTCTATATTTTTGCGATGTTGCTTTGACCAAGGTTTGAACCCAGGCATTGTGGAGTGGAAGCGCGCACTGCTTACCACTACACCACAGCGGCCGACGAAATTGTTTATATAACCATTTTTTAAATTAAGGATTTTTTATGGGTCCCACATTGAATTTTGTGGGTGCTTTTGCTTTTTGTTTTTGTTATACGAATTTGCCCATCAGATGACTATGTGGGATGGGGTTAAGGTATGCATACAAAAAGAGACCCAAAATTGTGTAAGCGCACCTTTGTCTCACGCCCGCATATAGCCTAAATGCGATCCTTCATCTGGATCAAAGGAATGTCTGACAATTCAGATGTCCTAGACAAAACAACGCATCAAGAAGTAATTGCCATCCAGGAGGCAGCACTGAATCTCGCTCAAAGACCTAGAGAGAACAAACGAGTCTTTGTTTTCTGTGGCACTCCGGCAGCCCTCAAAGCTTTATACTCGAACATAAGACAATGCAAGTTCCCTTACTGAATGCCTTTCATCTATGAACGAGATAGCCTAGGTTTATGGTAAATATCTAATATTTATAGGTGCTTGGACGCCAGGATATCAAGTCGAATTAACTAGGAAAGTTTCGACCACATCCTTCGAAAAAAGAACATAGCAGGTACCTATATCAATATGGTGAGAAAACAGCTGTAATTTTATTTCATTCGAGTAAACAGTCGATCAGTGGATGTACACGAGCATCCAAGTTTCAAACCTTGAACAATATTTATAAAAAAATCAACAAACTTTCGTTAAAAATGTCGAGTTTTTTTAAATTAAATTTCCTAGAATGATTCTGAGTATGCAGTTTTGCAGCTCATTGAATTCTAGTAGAATATAGTACAAGTTTCAAATGGCTTAAAATTACCGTTGATTTTTAAGAATTTTTTTTCGCATTAGCTTCCATATAACGAATAAACATAATTTCGGTGTTTTTTTTAAAGAATGAACTATATTTTGATAACAAATTAAGTAACAAAAAAAATAATATGTTAAACTTGTCAAAATGTGGTGCGGCTATAATTTGTTCGGCCACTGTACACACATTTCATGTTGCTCATACGCCATGTATGACCCGGTCTTCAGCTGTGTCCGCATAATTGCGCGGTTCATGCATACATACATACATGTTATTGTTATCACGCCTAAACGTCAAACAAAAAAGATCGACAACGCGAGCAGAAGCAAAATATGTAATCATAAAAGCAGCACGAAAAAATTTACGTAGGTCAGTTAGCCGGCAAATTTGCTTCCTTTCTGAATACTAACTCAGTGGAATATTCAGAAAAATAAACACATATATGTAGGTACAATTGTATGTAGATACATGTGTAAGCATGTACTCCGATTGTGAATATTTCATTCATACTTATTTGTTGACGAAAATAAAGCGCACGCCAAAAGCAACTAAATATAAATTAATGTGAGCTGCTAGAAAATCATAAAGTAAATAAAAACACAAAATACATTTATAGATACTACATACATAAATAAGTCCCACCATATTGTGGATGTACTTACGTACATACATAACACTCGTACGTAGATTACACATAAGGCTTAGCTGTAACAACACTCGTTACTGAAGTGGCAACAGAAAAAGAATA